CTTAAAATGACTGCTGTTTTTCATTTCCTCGAAGAGATCTGACGGGCATGGCAGTAATGGTACTGATGAATGCCAGAATAAACAGACGGTGGGAGACAAGACAAAGAAGAAGATGAATGTGTCTGAAAGGTAGGATTTTTGGCAGTACTGAATTTAGAGAAAACCTGGGTTTCATTTTTGAATTTTATCTGTTTGTACCATGAGGAGTTTGTCCTGACAAACACGCACGTTTGTGTGCTTTATATATAGAATTTTTGGCCTTGGATCACAGCGGTTTAGCGAAACTGGCCCAATCGATTTTTCCAAAAAAATAAATGAATTTCAAGGTTTCTCTACCTCGCACATTTTAAATGGTCAGAATATTTTATTTTCTTGCCAGCTTAGATATGAGAGTCACACAGCTTAATTACGATGGGAATGAAGCATAATTTTGCCCAATTAAAGAAGAGATTTTTTTTATATGTAGTGTATGGAAAGTCTTCTGATTTAGTGATTATTTTAAATTACCAGCAAAAAAAACAAAAGGATTATTTAGTCATGCTTCACATAAGAGGCTTGTCTCTTGGTCTCTGCATCCTGTCATCAAACTTTGCCTCTGCTCCCCATCCAGATCCACAGCAGAGAGTGACTGCAGACGCTTGAAGCCCATTATTTATTTCAAAGTGTTTTGCTGAAGCTCAATACCATAAATTACCATTGCTATCAATCTAGGGCTGGGCTTAGCCAGCTAGATTGGACCACTGATTTATTTATTACCCACAGTATCTATTTAAAACATTTACATCTGTGTACATTAGCAAAGAGTATCATCTGTGAACCATTTATTGATGCCTACTCAACTAAAGGAAAGGAAGCCCATTCCTAAAAGAGGGACAGCTTCACTTCATCTTAACACACCTCAGACGGTTTCTTTTTTCTTACATTACTTACGAGTAAGTTAATAAATGATAAGTTCTGTATAAGTTCCAGCACATTGCTTTCAAGAGTTGGTATCAAATTATAGTTTTTTGACATGTTTTTTTGCAAATGGCAGTGAAACTTGGAGTTATCACATTCACATGAGAGGTAGCAGTATACAGAACCTTAGCTTGTGTAATACATTTCTCTGTCTATTTGTTTCTATTCAAATGTATCATTTTTATTTGAATAAAAAAATCATGAATAGCATACAGTGTAGCCAATAAACTGTTGTATGATCAGACCTAGCCTTTATCTGATGCTAGACGATGTCGCTGTGTCACTACTGTACACTCTAATTTTAATGCTAATCTTAAAGTCAAACCACAAATACAAAAACACAGGAACAGAAAAAATAATTTCTTATTTTTTGTATTTTTTAAATTTTTTGTTGGAAAATCAAAGAAATCTAAATTAATACATATAATATAATACTATAATGATAATACATATATTATACAATGTAAATATTGGATTAAAATTAAAAACAGGATTGGGAGAGTTCTATTTTTTTTTAATATATTAAAATATATTTTGTTTGTAATTATGGATTTTACACCAAAGCAAACGTTTTGGTGTAAAAACGTTTGTTTTTGGTGTAAAAACGTTTGTTTTTGATACTTTATTTTTAATCAAGTCACACAAAAAAATCACTGCTTATAATGGATGGGAATTGATAAGAATTTAGAGATTCTGAGCCCATTGTCAATATCACTTATTGATTGAATTGCTTATTCATTCTCATTTTGTTCTCACTGGCACCAAATCAAAGAAATTACATTCCTGCAAATTCACTGCTGATGTTTGGTTAAATGTTTGTGCATGTTGGAGGTATTTCCGCTCTTTGTTGTAGAGATCAGTGCTGTGGTCATTACTCAAAAAGGTAATGTAGTACCGGTACATGAATTACAAAGAACACAGTAATCCAGTATGTTGCATTACTTTTGCTCTTCTCCATATAATAGGACCTGAAACACACTGTCTCATAATTACCATTTAACAACATAAACCTTGAGGCTGCTAGCGCCAACACAAATCTCTATCCTGATGACATTATCCCAATATTATCCTAATTATGAACACAACGCTGAAAAGACAAAGCAAAGATGAAAACCAGCACAAAGAGCCACAATTATTCTACTTTAGAAACATAAACAGGTAGAAATGAAGGCTGCAGCCTGACTGCTCATCAGGTTGTTACCTGTTGAAGTTTAGGGTCTGGCCACTGGGCTCCAATTGGCATTCACGTAGCTAAAGTTAATCTGGCTTCTTGGCTAGTTTAGCATTAGCATGCTATTTGTGGAGGTGCTTGCAGAGAGTTGAAGTGTTTGCAACATAATATAGTTGCTTCTGTCCTGGATGCAGTTTGCACTTTACCATCTCATCCTCTTGTGCAATAAAAATAAAAATAGTGTCCATGTCACACTGTAAACTGCACCACTGTTTTCCTCCTTTGGCATAGGAAGTGAAAGTAGCAGACTGTAGTGCAATCAGTGCATCAGGTTATCATGGACCTTGGAAAAGATCCCTACACATCTACACACACCCCACTCTAACCTCTGACAGGCCAGTTGTTTTGGTTTCCATAATGCCATGCTTCCCAACATTCCTGTATGTCCTTCAGTGCTCTAGAAATGGTAACTTACACGTGGAATGTAGCGTAGCATTAAATGCAGGAATAGTTTTGGTGTCAATTAATGATTTATGATTTATAGAGCATGTCTGCATTGTATCCTAAAATGGCAGGTATTAATCTTTAATTCCAGGGAAAAAATTTCCATTCACTTTTTTAAATGTATTTTTTTTTCTTCTCATTGAAACAAAGAGATATCATATTGACAGCTATTTCCTAAAACTGCATTTCACATCCCAAGATAATTCACCTGTAGCTTGTAGAGAAAATGACATTCATCTCAGATGCTTGACCTTACTGAGGACTTCCACTTTAATTTGCATTAGAAATGTGAAATATAGATACAATGAAAAATGTTCTTGGATTGGTTTCTGCAGCACAATATGAAAATTTACAGTGCATTAATATTAATGCATCATTATTGGCTGTCTGATTTCATAAATAACTACAGCAGTGTCAGGTCTGGTATAGATCACTTGGATAGGGGCAGACTTTGCAAAACCACACCTAAAAGAGCTTTGTGAATTTAATTGGGAAAATTGCAAATCAGGTAGTCAGCCGTATAACTCATTGTCACATTTAATCAATAAACTTTGTAAATCAACTCATTTCATTTATAAATGATCTTATATAGATCAGGCAACCAATTAAACAATTAGCATATATTTAGCAATTAATTAATTTAATCGTTAATCACACCATTACCGTTCAAATTTTAAGCCAACAAATTTGGGAGCAGACGTGCAGGCTGGCGTTGGAGCCGTACATCATGCCTGGGGAGTGCAGATTGTGACACAGCTAGATTTACTGTGCTAAAAATCAATGCAATTAGGAGAGAGGCTGGAGGCTGGCCTGGGGTCCAGCATGGTCTTTAGGAAATTTTTGACACATACACACAGACACACACACATACTGCCAAATGTATTTCCTCCTTTTTTAATTGTAGGCATACTAAGGTGATAATAACTTTAGCTTTGTGCATGCATTGCATTTTTGGACATCAATATGTCATTGTCAAATTAATTGTGACATCTTGGCATAATTACTTCAAACAAATGAGACAATGGCTCAGATGATTTGTTGCCCCTGTCTCACACCACCTTTATTAATGTTAGTGTTTATCCAAATTAGAGCCACATTCTCCATAAACCGTTATGCTTACATCTATGCTAGTCCAGTGCTGATGAAGGCAACCTCATCATGTTTAGTGCTCCAAAGAGGGCCAGACAGTACTTTCTATTGAAGGCGTAAACTGTCCCAGTTTTTAGTTCACAAAGATTTAAAAAGCTAAAATGTGTATATATCGTGAATGCAAGCTACAATAAAGCTGCATCACAAACACATTATTGATATTTGATCACCTAATTTAATTAGTGTGGATAATGTGCTAGCAAACAGTTGCCTATTTTTACACAGATCAACATTAGTCTTTATGTAGAGCTGTCAGACAAATTAACAAATTACATGTTTGCCATTTATACAAACTACTGAGGCATATACCTGGATAAACTGGCAAATTCTGCAATATGTGGCAACTACCTACTCGTGGGAGCTCCCTGCATCCCTGGGAAATCCTCTCAGTTTACCTTTAAGCATTTTTTTCTGTTTTAAACTGTTAATAGAAATCTTGATGTATCACAGTAGTTGATTGGTATTTAAGTCAAAAATGCTTTGTATTCTCTTTTTTACGTACAAGCTAGTTAAAGTCCAGAAATCAGTGTCAACAGTTTGTTCAATTTCACAGCTAATGTTTTACCAACATTTACTTTTTTTGCTGAATATCAGTGCCACTTGTGGATTTTTGTGTTTGTTGGTCATGCCAGTGTGTCACCACCCAATATGCAATTCAAATCAGATTCATTTATATAGCATCAAATCACACAACAGTTACCCCAAGCTGCTTTCTTTGTGAAGTAAAGACCCTACAATTATCACTGAATCAATCATATGAACGATTTTCAGTCTTCATTTTATTGCAGGACAATTAGCATGCAGTTTGAATATAACTGTTTTTTCCCCCTGCTTATAAACAGCTGCAAGCCAGAGCTTTGTGAGAGAGAAAACCAAAACAGTCATTTTAAGGGCCTGAACACTAAATCATTTAGCTAAAATATGTTTATGCACTTCATACAGCCGAGGGGAAAATATGTGTTTGTCACTATTAAACGATTGCTTTTAAATAATTTGTATCTGCAAGTTAAAAGAAGGGTACATCACATACCTTTCAACTTTTGAAATACTCAAGAACAGCCATGACCTCATCTCCTCACTTCAGCAAAGAGAAGGGTGAGATCAGGTTTGAGATGTTGTGGACGAGCTGCCCTCAAACACAGGATGCAGGCAGGGTTGAAGTGCTGTCCAGGCCTTGGGTTGCTGATTGTCTCATCTGTCTTGGCTAAGTCAGCAGGATGTGACAGCCGCCCTCTCTCTGTTACCCGCTGACCACTGGGCTTGGCATTCTCTCCACTCACCTGCCCTATCACCGCCTCCACCATATCTCTATCCTCGCCTCACTCTCACCTCAAAGTCTTCGTAGCGAGAATGAGGATCAACGCCTTAGTGTCAAAGAAGAGGAATGTAGGCTAACAATTCCTGGCTGCTGGCTTGCAAGTATCGGTTCCGGGTGCTGACTTTGGTTTGTTGGTTTTTGATAGAGGCTGACAAAGTGACAAACCTTGACTTCAAGTGTAACTGACTAAACAGACATAACTTACTTTATTTCAGAGATCTCGCTCAAGGAGAAGGTAAGAGCTTGTTTTTGGTATTTTTAATTGCATTTTGCGATTATGTGCATTGCATAGTTAAACAATGAGTCCCACACAAACGAGGCAGCTCTTTCTGGCTTACCAAGCTACTACTTAATTCAGTTGTTCTGAATATATATATACAGGAGGTGGGGCGTGCTTAACTGTACTGAGCTGCAAATCCACATTGTCACAATGATTGTGTCTCCGGATGCCGACTGCGTCATCTTGTCTCTATGGCCGGCACTCCTAAAGAAGCTGTATGTCAGATACCTGCCTTCCTGAGTCACTGTTGTCTTTTTTAGTGCAGGATGTCAAAATATTATTATGGTATGTCACGAATTATTACAGAACACCAGAAAGCATCTTTTTGGGGGGGTTACTTTGTCAGACAGCTGTATGTGTCACCTGAGTTTAAAGTCCGTTTGATTTTATCTGCATGTGGTCTATCAAATTTGACAAAAACATACAGCAGCTGGTTCCTGCTGTGTTTTCCCAGTTCGGCTTTGTCACCAGGTTTATCTTTATGAGCTGAATTGTATTTCACCTCTCAAAAGCAAAAAACAAAAACAAAAAAGGAGTGGGGGGGTGTAGGGGATGGGGTTGATATTTTCATCTTAAGAGCTGAAGTTGTGATTTTTTGGGTTGTTTGTTTGTTAGTTTTATTTTTGTGCGTTTCATTACAGCTCCTTTTTACTCGCCACTCACTACAGTCCTGATCCCAGACGTGAAGCAGCGACAAAAGCCGGCTCGTCAGGGATAACAGATGAGCGCAGATGAACAGTGTCAGGTAAAGTGCTGTGAAAGACATTTAATGTGTTTTATATCAGTGTGTCTGAATTGTCCAGGAACACTTGAATCACTCAGTGTCAGCCAAATACGGCATAATGAGACTCGCCTTCTCTCATCTGAAGACACATGTCTCACTGCTGTCACTCAGGCTAACGGGGGGGAAAGGGCTTTTCGAGCCTTTTGAAGCACACAATTGTGTATGATAGTAGCCCGCTTTAGCATCGGGGATTGCTCGTGCGGGATTATTTCATTAGGAGGCTCCCGGAGAGAGGACAGAGGTCACAGTCTGGAGCTCATTCAAACATCTGGAGTTCGGGAACATAAATTATTAAATGAGGCGGCAGTTTGGATTGAGACTCCTTACGGTTTTTCACAATGAACTTAGAAGTATTCAATTTTAAAAAGCCTGAAAAAACAACATTTCTTCACTATTTCTTCTTACTTTTTTGGGGTCTGCCAAGCTTGAGTTGTTTGGAGTGGGATATTAGTGTTGACTATTAAATACTTCTGGAGTTCTTCTGTCTGTGTTATTGTTGGGCTTCTTTTACTGCTGTGTCACAATCTGGCCAGACAAAAGATGGTTTGTTGTGGAGCTTTTTTTCCCCCTCAATTTTTCTTGGTGTCTGTTTGGAGATCTCAGAGTTTCCTCCATTTACGCCAACACAAACCGTTGGTAGGTACGGTGCACTGGTGTGACAAGCGGTAAGGGAGAAGAACATCAGTATGATGTTGGAGTCAAGAGGTTGATGATGGGAGTGGCTCCACCTTGCGCCATAGCCTCGTTTTAGCTGTCACAACCAGCACAACAAAAAGCAAGTTTGATTGAAAGATAGAAATCTCTAATTATCCCCACCTGTGTCCGTCTACAATGGGAGGGTCAAGATGAAGCCATTAGCTGTCTCTTCACTGGCACCACCAAGAGTTTGTATACATCTGTGTCTTATTTTCTTTTCTGGCACAATGAGTCCAGCAAGCTAAGCAGGCATGACCAGATTTGGCAAGTTCCAATGACTTTGGCAAAGTTAGACAAGGAGGAAGCGGTGAGATGCAGAGAGGGGGATGAGCTGGCATGGACTCTGTGTTTGCCTTCTCCCATGCCTGTTACTTGAGCTGGGTGTGTGGCTTGGAAAGAGGTGCTGGGTCGGTCAGAACAATTCACAGAATACCGAAGGAGACCGCTACAGCAGGGAAAGTTGCAGGGAGAAAAAAGCAGTGGAAGAAAAAGGTGACTGAGTTGGTTTACAGTTGTGTAGATCACAGGCAGCAGAATCCTCGCAGCTTTTTTCAACTCGTGTGTGCATAAGTGTGCTGTTTAAGCTTATTGGGATACTTAAGCTCATCTCCCATTTGACTCATAGCACTTGATAGAAAAAGGCTCAATGTGATTTCAATATTGTCAGTTTTGATTAGCTGAATCAAGCCTTTGTCTGGCCCAGCAAGTGTGCATGTTGTCAAAGCTATTTACAAGCAATGGCCAGATATGAAGCCCAGACTATTGCGGTCATGTAAACAGCCACATCTGTTTGAACCCACCTGCTCCCTTGTGTTTACTGGGCTCTGTAAATAATGAAATAAGTCCTTCTGAATAAAAATATTACAGTGGCATGGACTTTTGCTTTAGAATGACACAATAATTAATCAACGCTATAAACAAAAAGCTGCCAGGAATTGCAAATTTATAAATAAAAGTAATTTAAAAAAAATGTCCATGCATCCATGGTGTGTGTGTTTTTTTTTTTGTTTTTTTTTGTTTTGCTTTGGTTTTTTTTTTCTGGCGCGCCTAGACACATTCATTCATTCAGACTCTCATTCATTCATTTCTGCTCTAATTTATTTATATATGAGTGTTTGTTTTCACTTTAGTCCCTTGAACCTTGCCACCCTGTTTGTGACACCCGGGCTGTGAGTGAAGACGGAGAGGCAGGCTGGTTCAGAATGATCACTATCATTAACATTCATGGGGGGTTCACTTATCATCCCTGACTGGAGGGACATGGCAGCCATTATGAGACGTCCGCAGGTGGAGTGCCATGATACATATTGCATCTTGCCACAATGGATTTATGTATTCAGTAGCAAAAGAAAAGTCTAATGAAAAAATACAGAAGGCAATCCTTTATTTCTCGCTCGGCTTCAAGTGAGGCCACCATGTCCTGCGATGAAGAGCGCAGGGGAATTCCAGGGCTGTACGCGGACCTGTCACTCATGCTGCGCGCATGCCACACCACTATACTTCACATTATGGACAACTTTTACCGGTAATACATTTGTGCTCCTAACCCTAAACATAACTCTTTGGGACAAGGTCTTATGTGTTAAGCATAGAGATGAATCATATAAAATGACGTTTTTCTTAAATATTGGTCAAACACAATAGAGATTTACTATGTTTCCAGTTTATGAAGGTTGCTATTCCAGAAAAAGTAGTTAGCTTTTTATAGGGCCTCAAGAGGAATGCTTTTGTGCACAAATATGTGCACAAAACTGCTTTTAAAGTAGCATGACAACATTTTGTTTCCTTTCGTAGATAGCATTAGCTGTCTAAAATAAGAGCAACATGGCTGCCGCGTAACAACACGATTCCAGACTGGACAAATAAGATTAAGAAAGTTCACGATTTAGGTAAAAAAAAATTTTAAAAAAATTACACCTTTTCACAACCTTCTTTCACCTGCAACAAAAACTACTCTTCCATTTTCCTGCGGCATCTTCCAGGCCATCAGATGCTGCCTTTTTGGGTTGGGTCAGACATGTCTGTCACTCCCAACTTGGCACATATGGACACTTAAGAACCCCTTTGTATCCCATTTAAATGTTCAAGCATCACTTATCAATACCATCAAAACCTGCCCAACAAGCGGTTGGACCTGCAACACTTTGTAAAAGTCTTTATTCTGTATTTAGTTGTGAATTAACTAAAATTCCAGGGGAACACAAGTTTTGGTGACCGCCGAGTTACAAACAACAACAATGGTTAAATTTAATGTGTGAAAAAATTGAATGTGATATAGCATTCACATAATGATAATGCATGAATAACAATGTAAGAACATAATGTCTACAAAATCAAAAAGAATTGGGATTTATAATAATTCTTGTAGAAAACAATACAGATGTCAATAATTGCTGTATGTGTGACGATTTTTGTGCAAAGCTTTGTTCAGTTTGGCCCATCTCTGAAGGAGAAGATGGGATAAATACAGACATTTATGAATATATATATATATAAACGCTTTTATATTACATAAATATTTTAGCCTACAATCTGCCCTGAACAAAATTTAATTTAAATATTTTTAGCATCTAAACCTAACTTTAAATTTACTGGTTGCGCATCATTTATCAATACTAGCAAAAACTTGACCTACAGGTTCTTGCTAGTATTGATAAAGTGGCCATAATGTGGCTTTTCCCAGGCCTGAGGTGCTTTTTCAAATTCTTCCTTCTATATTTACTCATGAGTTGAATAAAATTCCATCATGCATACAACTTTTGGCTACCATTAAGTTACGTACATTGAACATAACACATGAAAGGAAGGCAATGGGATAATGTAACATGAGATGATGAATGAAAATAACATATACCAAAATTTAAAAAAAAAAAAAATGTGCCATTTACAATAAATCTTACATTACATGGGGGGGACATATAGACACCTAAGACTAACCTTAAATTTACCGGTTAACCATCATTTCTCAGTACTAACAAAAACCTGTAGGTCGGATTTTCCTGAACCTACCCAAGTATTTCATTAATTTGTGCATCAAAACCTAACCAGAGTGTAACAGCAAACATAAAACAAGCATGTGGAAATGAAACGACTCAGAGACTGAAAACTAATCAGACTGGACACGAATCACAGTCCACTCAGCGATGAGCATGTGACTTATTTAACCCTTCTGGCATCCTAATGCAGACTCTGCTGTTTAAAAGATGACTGTCAGCTCATGTTGTATTGCCTCAGACAGTACATCAAGGCTGGCCATTTATGCCAAAGGACAACTTGTGAGTAATTTAGAGATGCTAGCGGTATCTGACAGAATGGCAGCATTTGATGAGAAATTGTTGGGAGAGTCCCGCTGGGTAATGATACCAGCAGAGCACATTTGGCTGTACTCTTGTGTTTTGCTACGTAGTGAGCACACCAGCAATTTTCTGTGTTGGAACCAAATTTTGACACCGACATATACAGTAATTTAAATGTCTGTTTGTTTAAAATATATAAAATTGCCCAACCTAACAAACAGTTTTTTTCTTTATTATTCCCAGTTTGCCCCAGTATTCACCCAGCAGTGATGTTTTAGCAAGAAAATCTTAAACAAACAGTGTCTGAACTATTTATGGTCAGTAGTATATGTGCTTCTGATGTTTATCCTGAATTTTAAAAAAGGTCATTTCACATAAACAAATCACAAGGAACATCCCATTTTGAGTAAACAAAACAGCAGGGACAGAGAACTATTCCATGATAGATTTCTTTATGCTTGATTAAAGACACAATTCCTATCCTGATATTTCCTTGAGTAAAAAGGCTCCCAGACCAGTAATAACCTAATTGGAGAGAAACCTCTAACTAGTGTTGCTCCTCTGTGTCCCTGTGTATAAATAGAGTCCATAATGGACCAAGGTGCGATGCCATCATTCATCTCTGCTCAGAAACACTTCAGGTTCGGGTCTTAGCTCATTTTCCTAATGATGCTCTTGTTTTAGGTATGTTTTCACTTTAAGGTTTGTAAGATTCCAGCTTAATGGACACTATTCATCATGGACTCAGACCAGTTCACCCAGCAAACTTATTTGACATAACAAATTGCCAAAATGAAAGGATGCTCAAGCAGGTGGATATTTCAGACCAATAGGTAAATTTGTTCTTATTGTAAAAATAATAATAACAGTAGCATAAAAAGCCAGTTTCCTGCCAGGATTTTGCTTCTCTTGTATGACAATTGCAACATTGCTGCCAAACAAATCTGTCATTTCATAATGTGCTTAACG